GCCCCTCGGGTCCCCGCGAGCCCTGGGCGCGGCGCGCGCCGGCCCGCCCCTCCTCCGCGCCGGCGGCACGCGCCCCCGCCCTAAACTGCTCGCGTGCGCAGGGGAGGACGTGGAGAAGGAGGAGGAAAAGCAGGGGAGAGTGGGAAAGGGAAGGCCGAGGAAAGGAGGGCTGAAGGGGGCGAAGCAGGAAGGGAGGTTGCGAGGAGGACCGCCACCGCCACCGCCACCGCCGCCGCCGCCGGGTGCTCAGCCGCCCTGTTGCTGCTGCTGCTGCCGCCTCCGGCCCGGCAGCGCCTCACAGGGCGGGCTGCGCTCCGCTGTCGCTGCGACGCTCGCTGCTGCTGCTGCCGGCGGCCGCTCTCTGCAGCCGCGCTCCATGTCCCTCGAATCGGCGGCAGCCTCGGCAGCAGCGGCGTCGGCGGCGGCTGCTGCGGGGGCCGATGCGGCGGCTCCACATCGCCAGCCGCGAGCCTGGCGAGCTCCTTCCTGCCTTCCCCGCTCCTCTCGCTCACCGGCCGGCCCCACCCCACCCCGGGCTTCCGGCCGCGCCCCTCTCCCCGCCCCTCGTCGGCGCCTGACGCGCGCGAGCACCTGTTCGCCGCGCCCGCGAGAGATTCCCCGGCTCGCCGGTCTCCTCAGCGGCGCCTAGGTGGCGCCGGCCGCCTTAACCCCTGCGCTGCCTCACGCCCGGGGGTGGGGGTGTGGGGGGGCCACTGCGCGCGCCACGGTCGAGGCGACTGGCGCATCCCTGACGGTCCCGCCGCACCTCTAGCCTACTACGCTGTGCGGGCCCGCCCCCAGCTTCGCTCTCACCTCCGCTCTCACCTCGGGTGTGACCCCGCCCCCAGCCTCCCGCTCACCTCGTGGCGTGACCCCGCCCCCGGCACGTTCACCTCGGGGTGTGGCCTCCCCCTAGGCCCGCTGGCTCGCGGAGGGAGCGCGGACCCGCCCCCAGCCTCGCTTGACTTTCGAGTGCGGGCTCAGTCTAGCGGTTTAGGTGGTCGGTGGGCCAAGGGGACTGGGGACATTCCTTCAAAACCGGAAGCCAATCCCCGAGAGATTTAGTCTCAGAATTTAGGTCTGGGTCCCCACGCAGAGCTAAGCAGTCAGGAGAGGGAGCCCTAGAGAGAAGTAGGAGGGATGACTTTGGAAACTCGGCATCTTAATGATGACTCAGGGATAGGAAGGGCCAGATGCTTCCTAGATCAGCAGCCCGGGAAGGGTTTATGTAGAAAATTAATGAAAAATCTGCTCATAGATGAGAATACGAAGTAAAGAATCTCCCTAAATAGCTACGATGTTTTTGGCAGTGTACGTGGAGTGGCGTTATTAAGTGCTTTGTATGCATCATCTTAGATAATCTTCACAAGCACCTTATAAAAATACTGTCACTTTTCTTGTTTTTACAGAGGAGGATGGTGAGGCCTGAGATTCAGATCCGGGCAGGCTGCCTCCAATGTTCATATAAATCTTTCTTTACTTGCCTCACATTTGACCAGTCTTGGGGAAGATAAATAGTAATTTATGACCCAGGTAGATTGGCTCAACATAGGAGAGCTTTCGCCAGTGATCAAAAGGATTGAAGAGTCTTGTGTGCCTTCCAGTCAGTTCTTGGTTTGAACTTATTGGTGATGCTCTGAGTCTCCTATTTTCAGAAATAATACCATCTGAAGCCAGAATTGGTCCTTATTGTTTCCTTTTCTTCTTGGATGACAACATTTTCTTTTTTGGTACCGGGGACCGAACTCGGGTCCTTGCGCTTGCGCAGCAGGCGGGGAAACCACTGAGCTAAATCCCCGGCCCGATGACAACATATTTTTGAGTTAGATCGTATTTTAACTCTCTTCATCCCAGTGAGATAGAAGTTTCAGAACACCAAGAGGCTGAAATGGGTCAAATGGTTTCTTATGGTTCTTATTCCTTATTAGACCCTAAGCAACATTCATGTATCACAATACAACTTCAGACTGAAGACAAGAATCTGAAAGAGCCTGAGCTTCATTCAAGGCTGGCTTTAAAAAGGAGACAGACAGAGGAGTTGGCACATCAATCTTAGAGCTGAATGTCTACACACAACCATTTCTGCAATGGAATGTTCTAACACTTTTACGTCCCTCCTTGACCAGAAACTCTGGGTCCTGGTAACATCCAGTTGCAACTCCCTTTTGTCTTGTTTGAATCACAAAAGAACAATTTCTCCCTAGTCTGTATAGAGACATACCTAAGGAGAACAAACAGGATTCCTGATTATTACAAATTGGCAGCCTATATTTCCAAAAAAGACTTTGGCTTGCCTCTGCTTGAACTCAGTGGTCCTGAGATAGCAGGCTTAGCTGTGACTGTGAAAATGAACTAGTAGGGTCCTGCTCTAACTCCCTAACAATGTTCTGCCTACCCTAACTAGAAAGCGATCTTTTGGCCCTAAGCCCTATATTTCCATGAATGGGCAAAGGAGACCAGCTTAAGTTTAGAGAACTATGTAGAGTATTTGTTCTTAAGCTTTTTGGTCCCAGAATACCTTTACACTCTTAAAAATTATTGAGAACATCAAAAACCTTCAGTTTATATAGGCGAAGATATTTATATTCACCATATCAAAAATGTAGGAGAATCTTAAGCATTTATTTATTTATTTAAAGTAAGTGCTTTACTCTCCCCATTTTACAGGAGAAGGAAACTGAGGCCTCAGATTTGGATCCAGGCAGACTAACTCCAAGGTTGCTCATAATAAATCTATTCCCAAACTTTAAAAAATGAAGAGTGGCATTATTTTTTCATTTTTGCAAATCTCTGTAATGTCTGGTTTAAAAGCAAACTGCATTCTTATATCTGCTTCTCCATTTAATATAGTGATATTTTATTTTGGCTGCAGTATATAAAAGGAATCTAGTTTCACAAAGATACATGGTTTGGGAAAAGAAATATTTTAATAGAGGTTTCAGATAATTGTGGGTATGTTTCTTTGTTATTACACCAACAGTTGACAAGTGATAATTTCTTTCTTTTTCTTTTTTTGGTACTGGAGATTGAACTCCGGTCCTTGCACTTAATCAGCAGGCGGCAAAACCACTGAGCTAAATCCCCAGCCGACAAGTGACAATTTCTTAAAAGTTAGTTGTAATAAGGAATCTAAAATCATCTCAAGGAGACCATTGATCTATATACCCTTTGAAATGATCTTTTACCTATGGATGATTGATTCTGCAATAGGATGCATTGGTCATTTAGAAAATATAGTTCACTGAGTTATGCAGATCTTCCAAATATTGTCACATATCATTTTATGCAATATAAAAAGAACAATATTCATACTGTATTACTATTGATCTCATCATATAAGTACAATATTTAAGTACTGGGAAGTTAATAAGCTCAGTGAGATGTGTATGAGTTTCCCAAAATTTTTATTTTTCACTTGAAAGTTCAAATTTTATCATTGATATCAGATGTCAATATTTTCCTTGAAACCCTTACTTTATTAATTCTTGAGAAAATGTTTGCCAAACGCTTGAATCTGAATACCATAATTTGTTATTTATTCAAGTAAAAATGGTCTTCTATGCAAAATATGGCTACCTTAGCTCAGAACTCAAACAGTGGCATGAGCGCCTTACCTCCAGTCAACCATTGTATCTCAGAATGCAATGAAAATGCTTTATGGGCAATTTCCATTTCATCACATGGACTAGCAAAAATACTCAAGGGACTAGATTTAATAAAAGTAATGCTTCAGCAGAGACATTATTAAGTGATACTAGCTTTTATTTCTTTCCATGAATACACTGGAGTGAAGAATAAATAACATGTCTACCAGCACACCTTGGTACCTGCTTTAGTTTGGATCCTAAGTGTCCCCCAAAGGTCTTTGTGGTAAATGCTTTGGAGGTGGTGAAGCCTTTAGAAAATGGGGCCTAGTGGGGGTCATTGAGGGCATCCCCTTAAAGGAGATTGTAGGATCCTGGCTTCCTCCTCTTTCTTTTGCTTCCAGCCCTGAGCTAAGCAGTTTAGTTCTCTAATGTACTCCCACTATGATCTGCTGCCTCACCATAGGCCCAAAGCAACAGGGCCAACAGATCATGGAGTAAAACCTCTAAAACTGTAAGCCAGACTAAACCTTTTTTCCTTATAGGCAGATTATTTCAAGTTGATAGTAACAGAAATCTGACACAGTATCAGTATCTTAATTCATGTTAAGGTATCAATAGTGTTACCCACTATTGTTTTTGCACCATCAGTGAAAATGACTACATGGTTAAAAGCAAAAGTAATATTTGACAATTAGCATTATTATGAAATTAGTTTTATGATTATTAAATACACTATCATTACAATGATTGTGAAAATAATTTTGAGTAGTTCTCCTGAAAGGCTCTTTGGAAACTTCAAGGTTAGATGTAGCCACATTTTAAGAGTTACTGATTTAGAGCTTTTCAAGATCATTAGCTCAGTTTTGAGGTAAAAAAATAAACAGGTTCAAGCTTACGTGGAAATTAATGCCAGCATTTAAAACACCAATGCAAAGATATGACAAATTCTCAGCCTTCTAGGAAGCTTATTATTTAGTTTATTCTGCTTCATACTGGATCAGCAGTTCAAAGATACTAAACATTGGCTGGAGATTTAGCTCAGTGGTTTCACCGCCTGCTGCGCAAGCGCAAGGACTGGAGTTCGATCCCCGGTACCAAACAAACAAACAAAAAAGATACTAAGCATTATGTTCCAAGTCCTTTGTATAGGCCAGCCACGGTGGTGCACGCTTGTAATCCCAGCACTCAGGAAGCTGAGGCAGGAGGATTGGCATGAGTTTGAGGCCGGCCTAAGCTACAAGGTGAGTTCAAGGCCAGCCTGAACTGTGTAGCAAAACCCTGTCTCAAAAAATAACCAACC